CCCCTTTCGAGAAGTTGAGGCGTATGGACGCACATATCAACCCGTTAAGCGTCAATTTGTCGAAATCTTGAAAACATCTATACACGTCATCTTTGAATATAGCTCATATAAACTCGTCCTTTGTCTGATAAGACATGTTGTCAACCTGCCATTTGTATAACAAGACGCCTTTGTCAACTCACCACTTTTCTGACGACATGCTCCCTTCAACCTGTCACTCGTCTGCTACTTCCATTAACTCGTCATATGCTTGTCTAGACGCTTCTATCAACATGTCACTATCTTTGCAAGTAGTTTTTAGATCGGATTTGTCTCCTTGAGTGAGGTGACGAAGAACGAAAACTGGTCTCCTGTCATCTTCCTCCAGATTTGTGCTAATGATCGTATCTAAGCAATGCTGGCAAGTCGTAACTTCGTCCAGGTTGATGTCGACACTTCGGTTGGCAATTATGATTTTGTGCCTCGTTGTATAAATGACGAGTTTGGCTCCGTACCCTGCAAAAAACTTTAAATATTGTTTCGTTTATGGTTTTAGTAATATTGTCGACATGAATACTTGTGATTTATGTCAATGTCGTTTGTATTGTCTCCTTATGTTTTGGAGCTTGTGTTGTCATGCTCTTGGAGCACATGCTTCTGTTGTGTGTTTTATGTAGTTTTGTGTTGTGTTGTTTTTGTGTAGTTTTGGCCAAAACTCGTAGGGATTCTCGGTCCGTGCCTCATATTTCATATATGAAGGACTCAAGTTTGCCCCACCTTCCCTTGTTGCGGGGTTTGTGTTAGCGGTTGTCGCTATGTGTGTCGCATGTCAGTTGTCCTTTGCGCTGTCAAAATCCTGCATACAGACATATCGTCAAAGTCTGGCCGTTGGCTTTTGGCCAACGGCCCTCCGATGCTTAAGTCAGTAATTATTGGAGCAAACAAATAAGATTTTATCAAAGGAAAAGGACTCACCAGGCCGATCATCATGTACCCGAATGATGTTGAAGTTGAAACGTGAGAATCGAACAACTTTAATTTATTTGGACATTATTGAAAACATTAAATGTGACAGAAAATTGCATGGAAATTGAAAAGACTAATGAAGTTGACAAAGATTTTTGTGATGAAAATGCGAACAAAGAGAGTACCTGTGACACTTTACCTACTCGTCTGGTTTGATCAGTTTGCTATTGTCGGTCAGCACCTATTCAAAGACTAATTTGGCCGTTGGTTTGAGGCCAACGGCCCTCCGATGCTCAAGTTAGTAATGGAAGTAAAAGAATGGTATATTGACTGTACTAATTAAATCAGAAATGCAAGGGTTTTAAGTGTACCACATTCTAGCTTCTCGGTACTTGCTTACTGTCGACAGATTGCAGTCGATATGCCCCCTGTCCGACGACTTCAATCATGTCGTCAAATCTACCTCGTCACAGAAGTGACAACTCGTTCTTCTGGTCTCGAATAAGGTCTTCCGTGCTTGTAGTCGTGCCTCCTGGGGGATTCTGATTTCTCGTGCCCCCCTTCCTGCTCAATCTGTCCGTGACGGGCTCGTAAGTCTTCTTCTAGACGAATGAAAGCTAGTGCCTTTGCTTGGACATCTTCGAAGGATCGAGTAGGATATTTCGTCAACTCCCGATATAACTCTGAATCCTCCAGCAGTCCTTGTGTGAATGCTTCAATTGTCGTCGGCACGTAACACCTAGGGATTGACACCTTCTCCTTGTTGAAGCGATGCAAGTATTCCCGTAAGGATTCGTTTCGCCTCTGGACCACCCGATAAAGATCACTGGTTTGCTTCTCCAAGGCTCGACTACTTGCAAACTGTCGATTGAATAAGTTGACCAGCTCTGCAAATGAATTGATGCCTCCATTTGGTAGGTTGACGAACCACGTCAATGCTGGTCCTGACAATGTCGTCCCAAATGCCCTGCACATGCAAGCTTCTCGCTGATCTGGTCTGACTGAGGTGACTAACATTTGTTGCTTGTACTGAGCGACATGTTCCACCGGATCAGAAGTCCCATCGAACAGTCTCATCGAGGGGGCGGCGAACTTCCTCGGAATCTCGACATCAGTGATACGTCGTCCGAAAGGCGAGTCCGCATAGCACGTTTGTGAGGCAACATCTAGTGGTGGCGGGACTCCAGGTATGTCGTTGATTTTTTCCCGCATCTCCCTCATCTCCTCCATGAGGATGGCCAAAGTGTTGGTCAAGTGTGTCTGCATCTGCGGAACTGCCACTTCGGGTGGTGTTGTCGTTTGGGCTGCTCCTCGTTCGGTCAGTGATGGTATGTCGATGATCTCCGGCTCTTGCCGCCTCTGGTTGTTGATGTCGACATGTCTGGGAATGTCGACATGATTTGGAACATGTCGTCTCTGGGGCTGTGCAAACAGATTTCGGAATATGTTCCTTCTGGGATTTGGGGGTGGAAAGGAACAAGTTGAGGGCCCTGCTCCTCCAGATGTGTCGGCCCCGAAGTGAGGGATGAAAGGGTGCATGGGAGCCGACGTGGTGGTCGAAGTTGGCATCTGTTGGTTGATTGTGTGCAAACCCGACGCCACCGTTCTGGTCCACAATGAATCAGGGAAGAAGTGCATTGGGATGCTCGTGGTTGGGGTTGAAGCCGGAACTGAATCCATGTCCAATCTTGTTGCCACGGTTATTATATCATTTCCCTGTCGTGAATTGGATACTATGGATGCCACCGATTGTACTTGAGATCGTAGAGCGTCGTTTTCTCGTTGGAGGAGGGTGATCCGCTGCCGCATTTCTTCCTTGACAGCTTCTAGTTGCGCTTGAACCTTCGCCGCCGAATGATTAGAATTTCCGGCCATGCGTATTTCTTCCCTGAGAGCTTCTAGTTGTGCTTGAATCTCTGTCACCAAAGAATTAGAACTTCCGGCCATAATTGATTCTCTTTTTGCAAGAATTTCCCACAGACGGCGCCAATTGTTTTAACTAGAAATTAAACTAATCTAAATATGAAATTAAATTGGGAATCAAGCAAACGAGAATCGAAAATGAATAATAACAATTTAGAACGAATCAAATAAGCAGATGAAAATTTGATCGCTATACTGTATATGTGCGTATGAATACAATGGTAGATGTGTTTTTTTATCAGAATGGATCGTCTCCTTCAATATTGCTGAGCTAGTGTATTTATTGTATGAGTTTCACCCCTTCCCCAAGATAAGGAACATCCTCCGATTTTGCCTCCACGTGCAACTGCCTCCATTTGACTTGCTCTTTGGACTTTGCTTTTCATTCTTTTTTCTTTTCATAATCGTTATCTGATTTGAGTAGATGTTATCTCTTCTTGGACTATTTGCATTTAAATTCATCCGCGGCCCAATCTTGTATTAAAATTCTTGGGCCCAACAGTATGCGTATCAACTGTCCTCCTCGAAATGATGTATATATACATGGTCTATTCCCTATCCGTATTTTGCCTAACTGCCTTGTTAGTGGCCGCACCCATCATCCGAGAGTTGTGGGGCTTTCTCCTCAAGTATTGCAACTAATATTCAAAATTCAAATTGGTTCTTATCTTGACCAAATCGGTGGACTGCTTGTGGACTTGGCTTGCTAGACTTCGTATGTTGCTGGACTTCATAGCTTGGACCGAACAGATCTTGGGCCCAACTCTTTAGTAAATCCCGGGTCTAACATCGACCATGTGCTGGAGTTGGGCAATCGGCTACTTCAGAGTTTTTTGTTTTGTTTTTTCACTTAACCCAAACGACACCATTTGGTTAAGTATTAAAGAAAGAGAAACGACGTCGTGTAATAGATGGCTGTGATTAGATAAAGGCCGAAATGCTGAAAATTGAAACCTGAAACGGCATGCATAACTTGTAAGGGAGTGAACAGACGATTAGAACATTGGGTGATTTGGGCATTTAGGCCTGCGGCATCTGCTGTCGAGGAAAGGCAAAGCCGCATTGTGTGAAGCTCTGCTCATCCGCTGATCCTCAGTCTAGTTTATTATATATTTGTTCCACTTGCTATCATTTTATTAATTGTGGAATTGTGGTATTGAGACAACGTGTACACTGTAGACAATGTAGCGTGCTTTGTTTTTTCTGAATTATGTAGTTTAGCTTGTGATTAGTTTACTGTATTAGGCTGAAATTTTTATCATTTTAATTATTTAGTTTTCATGTTTTAAAATTATCAGAATTTTAATAATCTTTAACTAGTTTAGGGATATATTATTAATTGTGTAAATCATCATCATTACTTGTGTATATATCTTAACTAAATAAAAAAGACTAATAGAGTAATTTACAGTACATTACATAATACTCCGTATGATTTATGATTTTTATAATTTTATTAAATGTTAGGTTACCCACTGTCTCGACTTGTTATTCTTCTAACAATTAATAGTCATCTAATATATGCATTTTCACATATTCTCTCCATATTTTAAGGTTTGCTACATTTTTCTTTTCCAATGTCTTCTAAAAGTTTGCTACACTTTCTCTTCTAGTAAGTTTTCCTTTTAAAAACACTCAATAACCCTTAGTTTTTTACCTTTTTTATCTTTCCTTTCATACTTTTTCTACACTATCATTACCCCTACTACTTTCCTCTTTAAATAATGTGTCAAAACCATATGTAGCAATCTTAAAAAATACGGAGGAAGTATTACATATTTCTCATACTTTTTTACAATTTCAGTATTTTGACTTTTGATAAATTTCTTAGCCCCCCCCCCCCCCCAAAAAAAAAAAAATTGGCCTGGTTCCGCCCCTTCTTTGAATTTCTTATATGGATGAAATGAACTTCACAAAAAGTTCTTCCTTCCATAAAATCTAGCAAATCAAATCATTTAATTCAATTCAACCAAATGACCTTTACTAGCCGGGGTCTAAAATTTATTAACACTATAAAATATACGGAAAGAACATAGTAGCAAAAAAGGTTTATATCATTCCTGTTGCAACATTCTGAAGAGGAACTTCAGGACTATGGTGATAATTGGAGTTTGGAAACCTACTGTTGTCAGGGTTGGAGGAATCTAGAGCATTAACAATTACTAAAAGCTGTGTGAGGGAGTTCCAAAGGGGAGACAATGGACTACATGAATGGGCCAGGAAGGAACCATCTTTTTGTTCCAGGACCTGTCAATATCCCGGAACAAGTTATCCGTGCAATGAACAGAAACAATGAGGACTATCGCTCGTCTGCCATTCCTGCACTGACAAAGACTCTACTCCAAGATGTGAAAAAGATCTTTAAGACTACCAGTGGGACTCCATTCCTGATCCCAACTACAGGTGCCCAATGCTGTATATATATAACTTTACTAAACCTTGGTTTGGTTGGAAAAAATAAGAAAAATAATGTGAGAGAAAGAAAGAGAGAAATGTATATAGTTTCACTGGTGTGGTTACTAGAAAATTGGAGAGACTATGATAGAATTTTTCAGCACCATTTTTTTTCTTCCCCCTCATGGAGAGAAATAGAAGAATTTTTCTCAATTCCTACCCATCTCTTCTCCATCCCTCTTCTATATTTTTCACTAAACTAAACAAAGTCTAAGATTATGTTGGGATCGAGAGAAACAACAACATCCAAGCCTTAGTCCCAAAAGAGTTTGGGGTCGGCTAACATGAATCGACATATGAAATTTGAGTTAGAGATATTCATATTTCGATTCATGCATGTGATGTGACTAAGTTATAATGTTGCCCATCATACGCCTACCACAACATTATCTCCTTTATCCTAGCTTGGGATAGACATGGTACCTAAGGGATCTAGGAAAAATGTAAAGACAAATGAGATGTGATTACTTTTTTTTATCCCTTTGGCTCTTTTTAATATCTCATCTTGACTTGGCACAAATTTTAAGAAAGCGAGAATTGTATGGTTGGAATTTACTTACGTAGAAAAACAATATCAACTATAGATTCCTTTCCATAAGAGGAAAGTGGAGATGATTTTGAGATGTAAAAAGTGGAAAGAATGAAGACAAAAAAGAGATAGAAGTATTTTTTTTTAGGCTAAAGGGTTAAATAGGCCCTCGAACTAACTTAAAAAGTGCAAATCACCCCTTATATAGGAGGCTCTGTCTGGACGAAATTTGGGGCGGTTCCCGGTGGAATTGTTTAGTGAAAATTATTGAGCATCATCTTCATTAAGTCTAGTTTACTCATACAAAATTTCAGCTAAAAATTTAATCGGGAAGGCAGTCAAATGAATTTTTGGAGATAATTGTGCAGTTAAACAACACAGTACATTTCAGAAAATCATTTGACTGTCATCTTGGTTGAATTTTTATATGAAATTTGTTATGGGTAAACTAGACTTAATGAATAAGATGTCCAAAAAGTTTCATCAAAAAATTCCACCAGGAACTGCCCCAAATGGCGATGGCCGAACAGAGCCTTCCATATAGGGGGTGATTTGCACTTTTAAAGTTAGTTTGAGGGCCTATTTGATCCTTTAGCCTTTTTTTTACATACAATCAGATTTCTTAGTGTTTATATAATAGACATAAATAAGTAAAATAAGTATCACCAAATACAAACACTCAGATTTTCCCAATCGCTTATTGCCCCTATATATTTTCTCTCACGTTTTGTTTCCTTCCAGAATTCCCCTATATTTCCCACCTAATTGTATATCCCTACGAGCTCTGAGTTCCAAACACAACCTAGCAGTTGAGGAAATGAAAAATGAATTAGGTCATTTCATGATGAAAAGTGGGCACCGGTACACTAGATAGTTGCATTTGTTCTTATTACAGAGTAATGAAATATACAAAAAAATAGGGACTGGAGCTTGGGAAAGTGCACTTACAAACACTCTGTCTCCTGGTGATCGGATTGTGTCTTTCCTTATCGGGCAGTTCAGTTTGCTGTGGATTGATCAGCAGCAGCGTCTCAATTTCAATGTTGATGTGGTCGAGAGTGAATGGGGACATGGGGCAAATCTTGATGTTTTGGGATCAAAGGTGGCCGCAGATTCAGCACATTCCATCAAGGCTGTTTGCATTGTACACAATGAGACTACAACCGGAGTTACAAACAACTTGGCTATGGTTAGAAAATTGCTTGGTAAGCATCTAACATACATAAGAACAAGATTGAATAACCAACTAATTGCTATAACGACATATGAACAAAGTGCAATGTTTTTTTCCTAATGACTTGGATGTGGGGAGAAGAGGCGGGGAGGAGAGGGAGAAGAGGACTCACAGACTTGGATTAGAGGAATCAGAACTGATATGCTTTTTCTTGGGATGAGAGTATGGCCTTGGAGAGAGCAAAGTGGAGGGCGCATATTCATGTGGACGATTGATCTCTTTTTTCTCTTTCTTATGTACTTTTATCTTTTTATCTTTTATCTTTCTTATGTTCTTATGTTATTTTTATTTTATCCATTTTGTCTCATCTTATCTTTTTAATTTTCTTATCTTTCTTCTCTTTTTAACTCTGATATCATGGATCTATTCATGTTAGAGTTGCCCAAAATTTTTTAAGAATAAGGCTTGAATGTCTTTGTTATGTACTTGTTTGGATGACTTCTTATTCCCAAGAATAAGGGTATTTTTTCCCTAATGCCTAAGTTTGGGATCGAAAAGTTGAGAGTTAGGAGATTCTTGGGAATCCACAAGGACCACAATCCCTAAAATTGCAGGAATCACACACCCTTCATATTGCCATGGGAATCAGTGACCTCTGGTCCTTACTAAGGCAGTTTTATCGCAGTCTTATCGATTAAGGACCTGAAAGATCAAAACTACTCCCTCTGTCCCATTCAAAGGTTCTCACTTTCTTTTTTTGGATGTCCTAGCTAAAGGTTTTATTTTTATTTTAGAAAACAATTAACACTCTTAAATAACAATTTAATCATCAAATATCAGAAGTAATACATCTATAACATCACAGTTACCATCAATAACCCATGATATATATACTCATCAAACTATTTCTCAAAATATATTTGAATTAGCATATTTAATTATTGCTTATATAATTGTGTCATTTTGCAATGAGAACATTTGAACGGAACGGAGGTAGTACTAATTTAGGACTTGAATGATGATACAATCCATCTAAAACTAAGAAAGCTCATGAGTTATGAACCTTTTACTATTTTAAGTTGTTTTTATGCTAATTTTCGATGAGAAAATCTTCATGGACTATATTTTGTATCTAATACAGAGTGTACCAATAATAATTTAAACAACTCATAAAAAGAATTAGAACTCATAACTTTTAAGCCCGGGGTTGATAATTCCACATTTCCACTCATACATATTTGAATTTTATACTTTTCATATCCTGAATTGATAAACCAATTGTTTTCTCTAATTCTTATTGAGTAATTTAGTTAATTCCAACCACCAAATCATTCCAAACAAGACCTAAGAGTGCTGTGCCTGCTCAGATCACTATCACCATCCAGCTCTCCTTCTTGTTGATGGTGTGTCCTCCGTTTGTGCAATTGATTTCCGGATGGATGAATGGGGTGTTGATGTGGCATTAACTGGTTCACAGAAAGCTCTGTCACTTCCTACGGGGATAGGAATTGTCTGTGCTAGCCCTAAGGCTCTTGATGCCTCCAAAACTGATAAGAACTGAAATACTCTGAAAATTTTATTGAAAGAAAATTACTGAATCCTGGAACACAATGATCAGGAAGATTATTTGATGAAAGGAAAAAAAAACAAGTTGGAAGCCTTTCGAGAGGGCCCCTCTCTCCAAAACCAGTCTATCCAAATTTCCCGATGCCTATTCTCCTTCCTCGGTTCCCGTTTTATTTCCCAATCTGCCGACCCAGCTTCCCCCATTAATTATGCTTTTACTCCTTTGCCCTTTTATTTCTCCTACTATAAACTCTGGAAAAATCCCTTTCATTATTAATATCTAAATGGGCTGGGTTCTCATCACTACCCCTCCCTTCAAAATTCACCTTGTCCCCAAGGTGAAAATTGGGAAACAATGATTGAAACTCAGACAACTCTTCCCAGGAATCTTCAAAACTAGGCAAATCCTTCCAGTGAACTAATATTTCCTTACTCCCATTGATAGACTCTCTAGCAGCCAACACTTCTTCAGGTTCTGTTTGAAGTTCCCACTCCTCCGTTAAGCATCCAGGTAGGGGTTGAGTAGGAATGTTAGGAACCACAGTTTTCTTCAACAAAGAAACATGAAACACCGGGTGTACCTTACAATCATCTGGCAGTTTTAGCTTGTAAGCCACTGGATTTATTTTTTCAAGGACTTCAAAAGGGCCATAAAATCTTGGGCTTAGCTTCTGGTTCAGCCTTTTTGCCAGACTTTTCATTTTGTATGGTTGTATTTTGAGGAACACCCTATCTCCAACTTCCAACTGAACATCCCTTCTGTTTTTATCCGCCTGTTGCTTCATTCTATTTTGAGCCATGGCTAGATTTTGCTTTAACTCCTTGATCATTTCATTTCTTTCTGCTGTGAGTTTGGTTACTTCTTCAACTGATGTCCTCGTAGCATCTCCCAAGATTAAAGTTGGAGGCTCATGGCCATATAAGGCTTTGAAAGGAGAAGTCTGCAGTGAAGCGTGATAATTGGTATTATACCAAAACTCAGCCCAAGGTAACCATTGGGGCCATTTCTTAGGTCGGTTACCAGTGATACACCTCAGATACGTTTCCAGACAACGATTAACCACTTCAGTCTGCCCATCCGTTTGAGGGTGATAGGCGGTACTGTATTTTAATTTGGTACCTGCAAGTTTAAAAAGTTCAGCCCAAAATGAACTCAAAAATAGACTATCACGATCTGATACGATGGTCCTGGGAAACCCATGCAGCTTCACCACCTCCTGAATAAACAACTCAGCCACACTCTTAGCCGTATAAGGATGGCCCAATGCCAAAAAATGGGCATATTTGGTTAGCCTGTCAACCACCACTAGTATGGTGTCCTTACCCATCGTTCTAGGTAATCCTCCAATGAAATCAAGGCTAATATCAGTCCAAATATGATCTGGAATCGGCAAAGGTTGCAGTAACCCAGCAGGACTTAGAGCCTGGTACTTGTTCCTTTGGCATACCTCACAACTCTTCACATAATCTTGGATATCTTGCCTCATTCCCTCCCAGTACAGCACACTAGATATTCTTTTCAATGTTCTGAGGTACCCTGCATGACCCCCACAAGCTGAGTCATGGAATTCTTTCAGCACTTGATTGATTCTCGCAGATTTCTTGGGCAACATGAGTCTATCTTTGTAGTAGATTAACCCTTTTCTCAATTTAAAACCTGGTTGAGATTCTGGTTGTGACACCAGGTTCTGAATTAATTGATTGCACCTGGTATCCTGCAACAATTCCTCCTCTAAACCCTGCCATTCCTGGAAACTCACCACTGAAAGGGCCTGATAGCTAGCCTTCCTAGACAGTGCATCCGCGGCCCTATTCTCCAAACCCGGTTTATATTTAATGATGAAATTGTATCCCAACAGCTTCGTGATCCACTTTTGTTGCTCCTCACCCATTAACCGTTGCTCCATTAGAAATTTCAAACTTTTCTGGTCTGTGTGGACTTCAAAACTCCGGCCCATTAGGTATGGTCTCCATTTTTGCACTGCCATCACGATTGCTAGCAGCTCCCGTTCATATACTGACTTATTTTGGTTTCTATTGGATAGTACTCTACTCATATAAGCAATAGGTCTGGTCTGCCTTCCTGCATCAAAACAGCCCCTATCCCCTGCCCAGAAGCATCAGTCTCGATTATGAACATTTTGTTGAAGTCGGGATTAGCTAACACAGGTACTGTAGTCATGGCTACCTTCAACTCGTCGAATGCACTGGTGGCCTCTCGTGTCCATTTAAAGCCATCCTTTTTCAACAAATCGGTGAGAGGCTTTGCTATTCTACTATATCCTTTTACGAACCTTCTGTAATAGCCTGTTAGCCCCAGAAATCCCCGGAGTCCTTTCACATCTTGAGGCCTTTCCCAGTTAAGCATGTCTTGGATCTTACTGGGATCAGCAGAGACCCCAATACCTGATATGATATGTCCCAAGTAAGCAAGCTCTTTTTGCCCAAAGTAGCATTTTTTTCTGTTAACCACCAACTGGTTCTCTTGAAGCACTTTCAGCACCTTCCCTAAATGTTCCCGGTGTTCTTCCATGTTTCTGCTATACACCAGTATATCGTCAAAGAAAACAAGGACAAATTTCCTCAAATATGGCTTCAAAATGTGATTCATCAGAGACTGGAAAGTAGAGGGAGCGTTGGTTAACCCAAACGGCATGACGACATACTCATAATGTCCTTCATGGGTTCGAATGGCAGTTTTAGGGATGTCACTTTCCTTCATCCGAATTTGATGGTACCCGGATTTCAGATCCAACTTAGAAAATACCTGAGCCTCCCCCAATTCATCTAACAGTTCTTCAATGATAGGAATAGGAAACTTGTCAGGAATTGTAATTTTGTTAAGGGCCCTGTAATCACCACAAATTCTCCAACCTCCTTCCTTCTTCTTAACCATAATGACTGGACTGCTGTATGGGCTCGTACTAGGTCTGAGAACTCCACTGTTCAACATTTCCTGCACCAATTTTTCTATCTCATCTTTTTGATAATGAGGATATCGATATGGCCGGGAATTTGGAATCAATGCCCCTTCTTTGATGTTTATGGCATGGTCACATGCTCTTTTAGGTGGTAAACCTGCCTGCTTCTGAAAAACTTTTGGGAATTCTCTTATTAGCTCCTCCCAATCCTTCTCCGTTTCTGGATCTGGCTTGCTGGAATCAGCTACCTCATAATGAATGGCATACCCTTCTCCTTCTTGTTGCAAAGTCTGTAGGACAGATTTCCATGATGCCTTTGTTCTGTTTAACTCAAAACCTCCCTTGAGCATCTTATCTTCCCCTTTCTCCTTCCATTTGATGGATAAATCACTGAAATTTATCTGTACCTCACCCAGACTTGCCAACCATGCAATTCCCAACACCAAATCAGTACCTCCTAGTTCCAAGAGATAGAAATCTTGAGTAATACACTCCCCTTGCACCCAAATTTGGAGCTGTTCACATTTTCCTGTATTAACCACATGATCTCCATTTCCCAATTCGACCTTGAACCCAGTGTTGACATTGTAATTCAGCCCCATCTCATCAACCAATCTCTGAGAAATGAAGTTGTGGGTAGCACCTGAATCAATGAGGATTACGATTGATTTGCGTTTGCTCGTATTCCTTATTTGTCCCCTGACTGTAAAAGTTTTATAAGTATTGATTCCTTCCTTACTTAAAATCGATAGTTGCATATCGTTGTGTTCTCCTCCTGTGTCAGCCTCAATCTCCCCTGTTTCCAACACCTGCGATTCACCTTCCTCGTTTTCTTCTACTGATTCTACCCACATTAACTGGTAGTTTTTCATTTTGCACATGTGTTCTTTACTCCATTTGTCCCCACATTTAAAACATAGTCCTCTTCTAGATCTATCTTGTATTTCAGCTTGAGATAGTCTTGGTCCTCCCTTCCACTGTTTATTCAACCCACTAGAATGTTCAGGTTGAACTTCTGAATGGTCCCTCTCCAGCATAGGAATTTTTTGGTGTGACAAATTTTCCTATATTTCCTTCCGCACTGTACTGACCTTTGGATGAATTCATTCCCGTACTTATCCACCCTCGTCTGTCTATTTCCTTATTTTTTCCCCCTTTTGATGTCAGGTTTTTCTGTTCTACAAGCTGGGCGGTGTCCATAAGATCAGTTATCCCCGTGGTCCGGTGCAACTTCAGCTCTGAACTAATTTCTTCTTTGAGGCCATTGAAAAATACTCCTTTTAGCATCTCTGGGTCAGCAATTTTGATGGGAGCTACAACCTTTTCGAAGTGATCCCTGTACTCCATGACTGAATTAGTTTGCTTAATTTTGAGCATAGGGCCAAACGGGTTCTGAACTAATTCCGGCTGGAAACGTCGGATCAATGCTTCCTTAAAATTTCCCCAGGAATGGTCATCAGTCTGTTCATCCCACCATTGATACCAGTTCAGAGCCCTGTCGGTCATGGCCATCAGGACAACTTCCACTTTATCACTCTCCGATACTTGATTTAGTTTAAAATAGCGTTCCACCCTGATAAGCCATCCGTAAGCATCGTTGCCACTAAAAAGCGGTAAATCCACCTTTCGTCCCGTATATACTCGATCGTTAATTCCCGTCGGTTCAGGGGTTCGAGAAGAGGATCGAGAACCCTGAGATATACTTCCTGACTTGGACGAACTCACGCTGGCAGAAGGTTGTCGCCGTCGATGGGTGGGTGACCGTCCTCTTCTTCTCCTGTGATGGCCCTGAACTTCGAAGCTTTGCATCTTGTCCAGCAATAACTGCACTTTCTCGTCCATCAATGCTCTCATCTCTGCTCGGATCTCTTCCTTGGAAATCTCTACAGATCGCTCCAAACTTTCAAGTCGTTGTTCCATGTTTGATCGAGTGAATACCATACACAGGTACAGTAATCGTGCTCTGATACCAAATGATAAGAACTGAAATACTCTGAAAATTTTATTGAAAGAAAATTACTGAATCCTGGAACACAATGATCAGGAAGATTATTTGATGAAAGGAAAAAAAAACAAGTTGGAAGCCTTTCGAGAGGGCCCCTCTCTCCAAAACCAGTCTATCCAAATTTCCCGATGCCTATTCTCCTTCCTCGGTTCCCGTTTTATTTCCCAATCTGCCGACCCAGCTTCCCCCATTAATTATGCTTTTACTCCTTTGCCCTTTTATTTCTCCTACTATAAACTCTGGAAAAATCCCTTTCATTATTAATATCTAAATGGGCTGGGTTCTCATCAAAAACTGCAAAGTCGGTCAGAGTTTTCTTTGACTGGAATGACTACTTGAAGTTCTACAAGTTAGAGACTTATTGGCCATATACCCCTTCCATTCAACTTCTTTATGGGCTGAGAGCAGCTCTAGACCTTATCTTTGAGGAAGGACTTGACAATGTGATAGCAAGGCACAAACGACTGGCTACCGCAACTAGGTACTGTTTCCAAGGCCTTGCTTGTCTGTGCTTCTGTTAACTGAGGTTTTAAGGAATAGTGCTTGATGAAACTGATTCTACTAAAAGCAGTTATATGAACTAAAAACAGTATATTGTTTGGCAATGCAGTTACAAGTGCTGCTGTTAAATGGAATGTCTAAAAGTTTTGGTCCCAAATACCAAGATCAATGAACAGCTAAATAAGATCTACAAAGACAAACTTGATCACAATAAATATTTTCCTCAACAAACAGAAACATTAATCAAATACTTCTTTCAAAAGTACTTTTAAGTATGTGTTTGACTTTTTAAAAATGTTTATATGAAACTCACTCAAACATCACTTTTCAATTTAACAGCCCTTTTGACCTACTAAAAGGGATTTAGAGCCTGTCTGGAAGCAGATCCAAACAGGCTGTAATAAATCCTGCAGATTGCTTTAGTTTAAATCTAGCTGGGAACAAGAAAATGGTAGAAGAGAAGGGACAAATGCCAAGGAAAATTATTTGTTATGTTTGATTTTACTTTGGAGAAGGCAAAGGAATAATTCAAAACCTTTTCATGACATATACTTAGATGAGTTTTTCGACGACATACATTTATATTTAGATCTCTAATTCTTTATATAATAGAACCATGTAAATAAAATGAGTTTGAACCAATGTTTTGTTTTCCTCTACGTTTTCTTTCCTTCCAAATTCCCCAATGATTCTTTTCCTATCATTTTCATTGGTTCCAAAAGACCCTAAAGATTAATTATACATAATCTCCAATCTCCATTTGAGCTGTAAATAACAATCAACACCCTATGGATCTATGGCGAATAAATTCCACTTTTTGGTCTTACGAGTATCACACCAATTCCACAATTGGTCCACGTCTTTGACTTTGATCACTTTTGCTAATGATTATTGTGTTTTCGCCCATATATAGTCCTTCCAACGATATTTCTGGTGTCAAAATCGGGAGGACCACAAATGGTCAAGAAAAATTAGTCAAGTACCAAAAGTGGATAAAGTGAAAAACGTAGACAAAATGTGGAAATGACATACAACTCGTAGGACCAAAAGTAGAATTAATTTGATCTATGGAGTATGGTCATGCATGCAGGTTAGCAGTGAAGGCTTGGGGCTTGAAGAACTGCTCCCAGAAGGAAGAATGGTTCAGTGACACAGTCACCGCTGTAATTGTTCCTTCAAATATTGATACTACAGAAATCATCAAAAGGGCATGGAAACGATACAACCTAAGCTTAGGTCTAGGACTCAACAAAGTTGCTGGAAAGGTCTTTAGAATAGGGCATCTTGGTCATTTGAATGAGGTAATTGAGCACTACTTTGAAATTTTGGTACAAGCTAGAATTCCTGTCAAATTTCACCTGAATATCAAAATCCAAAGGAATTATGACTAACTAAATGTCAGGTTTTGTTTGGATGAAGGGTTTTGGAGGAGAATGATTTAAGTCTATATATCATGATAAATATAATCTTTCTTAAAATGAATAAAAGGCGATTCACATGTTATGTGATCACAGTTGGATATATGAGTGTCTGCTAACAGTTGATCATTTAGACAGTTAGGTTGTATTATCTTGACTCTTTTTATCCTTCTAACTATTCACCTCAGGTAGTTCTCCCTTAAGCGCAACATCACGTTTGTCAATGCATGATGACTTAGATCTTTATTTCTTTACTTCTCTATTAGCGAAACAAGGAAAACAATCATTTTTTTAAATTTACGATGTGACGAATTTAACAGTATTTTCAAAACATAATAATCGTTTAATACACTAATAAATAAAATGTAGTCAAAGTCAACTATGTGAATAATGTAAAACTCAACATGTTATATTAAAGATCAGAGATGATATAACTTTTGAATTGCATGATTATTACAATTCTTAGAGCCTTTTTGCCGACATTGAAATTAGCTGAATCGACTAAATTGGATAAAATTGATGAAGTTCTGACTGAATCTGTTGAATCATGAAAAGATTATTAAGAAGATACGTAGGATATTAATCATATTATTAATAAAATAAAGAAAAAATTATATGGAAAAATAGCTAAAATTGTCCCCCACAGTAACTTCAGCTAATTGAGCTACAAAAGCAATTCACTTACTTATTTTGATTATTATAGAATTGTGCGGTCAAAATCAAATATTACATGTTCGGTGAAAAAGTTTGCTGATAAATTAAAAAATAGGGTCTCCAAATTGGCTTTTAGTGTCCGTAGGGAAAAAAACTTTTGCATGTAGAACTGTAGAGTGGTGTACTGGCGTATTCTCTCGATAAACGTCAGGGGTTTGGTTCCGAGTTGAATTGTTGACTCTATCCTTCTTAAATACTCTGTATTTTTTATACCAAGTACGTATATAATAACTTTTGAATTGCGTGATTCTTACAATTATTAGCGGTGGTTGAAATGATTGCAAAATCTTTTCTTGGTCATTTTTTCTTAATTAAGCCTTTAATAAGGTAATTGTACATTAATCTCCTTGCGAGGTTACCGTGCCTAGTGAAAGGTCTCAAGTTCGAAACCCGCTAGGCATATAGGGGGTTGAAACTCAATGGAGTGAGTTTCAGCCCCTATTACTCCAGGCTCCCCCTAGCCCCCTCCCCCAGACCCCCCTAGAGTAAAAAAAACAGTAAAAAAAACAAAAAAAATAATAATCTCCTTTTGCTCAGGAAGCAGAAGTTGCAGTGTTTGGGTAAAAGTGCAGAAGTGATTCTGGTGCTCTAATTTACTCTTAGAATCAGTTTTTTTAAAAGGTGCGGGAGACCGGCTTCTGAAAACTGATTCTGATTCTGCTTCTGCTTTAAAAAAGAAGCAGAAGCAGAATCGGTTCCAAACACCCCCTTAATCCCAAAATTTTATCTATCAATGTAGGATACTTGGAGAATGCTTCCGATTTTATAAATATGAGAATATTTAGAGTTCAAATACTCATGCTCAAATTACAAAAAAATACAATAAACTCAAAGTATTACGCTCTAGCGGGGTTTGATGCACAAAACCCCTCATGATATATAAGTTTAGCGCATTAGCCTTATATGATTTAAAAATGTGTCAAATCCTCATGTGTTATGATTATTGATACACAAAACTTTCTCCAAAAACAAATTTTTCAATTTTGAAATCACTTTTTTAATAATATGATTGCATATGCAAGTAACTTTGTTAATATTTCTAAATTGTAGAAAAATATTAATTAATTTTCATTTATTTGGCAATCAAAGTTTTTTCATAGAAGGAGATTTGCGCATAAATAACGATAACACGGAGGGGCTTGACGTATTTTTTAAATCACATGGGCTAATGCATCAAATTTATATTTCATGAGGGGTTGGTGTATTAAACCCCACTTTAACGATTTCTTTTATATTTATGAAGGCCTAGGAATACCCTATTAAGGCCTATTTATGTATCATTGGAAATTGCATTGTCATGAATATGAGATTAATAAGAGGCAAGACCCATATGTGTTTCTGCGTGGAGTACATTATAACATTAACTAGTTTATAAAGATATGTACCCATATACCGCCACATTGCTTTGCCAAAATATAAGGATCCATTATTTCTTCTAATTTTTTTTTTGACAAGAAAAACTCAATTCATTTCATCATTAATAATGTTTAGGATACAATGTGACAAAAGTGAAAATTCTGCTAGGTGCGTGATTAGTAGCCGCCTTAGCCAGGACGTGAGCGCTACTATTCGCTTGCCGTTTAGTAAAAATAACTCTAAAGTTACTATTTGAAGCTAAAAGTATTTTGCAATCCTCCACCAATGACCCATATTCGGTCTGATTAGGACGGTTAAGGCACACATCTTCTACAAGTTGCTTACAATCAGATTCAAACAAAACATGCTTGTACCTAGTACTAGCCATCCATTTAATAGCTTCTCTAAGGCCCCATGCTTCTGCCTCTGCTGGACACAAATCCGATGTACATATACCTGTTTTAGCCATGTAAAACTGCCCACGATAATCCCGAACACATGCCCCGAATCCAACTCGCTTCTCATTTGCAAAGAGAGCGGCATCGACATTACACTTCAAGTAATTACGAGGGGGCTGCCACCGGACTTGAATCAAGCTGCTGGTTAGTAACTTTTGGGTGCTAATCCTAGCTCTTTCCCAGGAATGCAGCAGTTCACTCCCACGAGAGATAACCTGGTGTGTGGTCTCCCGAATGCCTTCCCAGCACATCTTATTCCTCTTCTTCCATATGCTCCATAAAGTCATGCTAAAAGCTTTTAATTTATTCTCTGGAAAGGCTTGAATGATGCTCATGAAAAACTCACAGAAACTTTCAGTTGCTGTCATAGTTGCTGCCATTTCATTCCATAGCCCTAATTGCTGCCAGCATTCCACGATATCAGGGCAAGAAAGAAACGTGTGCCATGCATTCTCTGGTGCGTTGCAGCAAATGGCGCAAACCCCTGGGCAAACTACACCTTTATCTTGTAGCTTATTTCTGGGCGGAATGCAGTCTCGTCCAAGCCTCCAAAGGAAGGTACGGACCCTTGGTGGGACTGCCAGGGACCATAGTTTATGCCACGGGCCTTCTTCTTTGAGATGATTCGTACCCACCAACTGGTCCATGCACACCCTGTATGCACTTCGAACGGAAAATCTTCCATCCTTTGTGAATCGCCAAACTGGACTATCCTGCCGATGCAACCTCATCAACAGAAGAGCTAATATTTCATTAACATCCATGTGACTAAACACGCTTCTTATGAAGCTCTCCTTCCATTTGCCTCCATTTCTGTCAATTAATTGGGCAACTCGTAACTCACTCATTGTGGGCACAAGCTGAGTTTGAATACACGAGTCCTCGCCATTCTGAAGCCATGGTTGACCCCAAACACAAATCCTTTCCCCATCACCCACACTCCAACGGAATCCTTCCTTAACCAAAATTCGGGCCGACCAGATGCTACGCCATGTCAAACTAGGGTTATGGCCAATGCCAGCCCCAAAGAAATCCCCTTTAGGGAAGTATCTTGCTTTGAAAACACGTGTAACCATAGCATCCGGGTCAGAAATAAATTTCCAACCTTGTTTCCCCAACATGGCCAAGTTGAAACCGTGAAGGTGCCGAAATCCCATTCCACCATTTGCCTTCCTGATTGTCAGCTTTTCCCAACTCAACCAATTGATACCTCTGCCACCTCTTGTACCTGAGCCCCAGCAGAATGAATTCATCATCCTCTCAAGCTCTTCTTGAAGAGTACTAGGTAACAAAAAAAACGCTCATACAATAAGTGGGAATAGCCTGCAACACTGACTTGATTAGCACCTCTCTTCCAGCTTGGGATAATAATTTACTACTCCAACTAGACACCTTACTCCATATTCTATCTTTAACATAATTAAAAACCGCCCTCTTATTTCTGCCAACCATGGAAGGAAGGCCAAGATACCTCCCAGAACCCAAGCTCATCCCGACTCCAAAAATGCCTGCAATCTGGTCCTTCACTGGTGCTTCAATATTTCTGCTAAATGTAATTTCAGATTTTTAAGTTTATGTGTTGATCGGAGGCCAAAGCATAAATGTCCAAAATGCTATGAAGGTGTTGAGCTTCTGCCTCCGTTGCACGAAAAAAGAGGAATCTTTTATCCGCAAATAAGAGATGACTAATTGCCGGAGCTCGTCTACATACCCGGATGCCATGTAACTCCCCTCTTCTTTCTGCTTGGCGAAGTAGTACCGAGAAGCCCTCAACACATAGAATGAACAGGTAAGGAGATAAGGGGTCTCCTTGTCTCAAATCTCTATTTGGCAAGATTGGTCCCACATAATCTTCATTCACAAGGACCCTATATCGCACCGATGTGACACACATTTTCATCCACGAGACCCACTTTGGGCTGAACCCCATTTTATCCATAATAGCAAAAAGGTAACCCCAATCCACTCGATCGTATGCCTTGCTAATGTCGATCTTAAGAGCTGCCGCGCCCCTTGATCCTCCTGTTTTACATTTTAGAAAGTGGATAACTTCATTAGTAATCAACACATTATCAATAATGCACCGCCCTGATACAAAACCCGACTGATCGATAGAAACACAAGCAGAGAGGATTTTTTGGAGTCTATTGGCCAAAACTTTGGCAACAATTTTATAAATCACGTTACAAAGCGATATTGGCAGAAGATCACTCATAGTTGCTGGTGTGTCACATTTTGGAATAAGCACAATGTTTGTATCTCCCAATCCGTCTGGGAATCTGCCTTGCTCTAACCACAAGCGGGAAGCTTCAATAATGTCCACCCCACACATGCTCCAGAATCTTTTGAAAAAAG